GGTTGGGACCCGGCCGCAAGGGTAAGATCAAATATAGCCATGGGCTGGCGGCGGCGGCGAGCGGGTGGCGGAAGGGGGAGAGGAGGCGAGGGGGGGGGGGAGCGGCGGACTGAGGGGGAGGAGGGAAACGAGGCAGCTGTGCGAGATTGGGAGGGAGGGACACGTTCACATTTGTAAAAATGCAACTACGACTGACTTTAGACGCCAGCAGCTGGGCCTTGACATGAGGATAGAATTTGTATTTCGTGGCAGTGAGGTGATGCTGAGCTGAGCTTGCTGAGCTATGGCTGTGGTTGGATTGGAAATTGGATTGAAAGGCAGAATCCTCCTCTTCGGCTCTACGTTTTTAAAAAACAAAAGAACAGTTTTTTTTGTTAAATAAAATTGTAATTTTCTAAGTAGAGATACTCAAAAAGATGACACTTTCAAAAAATCACAGTCACAGTAAACATAAAATCCCAACCAATCAATACTTCTTTTTTTAAAAATGCAAACAGAATAACAACATATAGTCACAAATAGTTAAAATTGTTTAAAATGTTATTTGGTGCAGAAATAGTTCATCTCTGGTATTTGGTTCTTCCTAGCTGATAAAATAGTATTCATTTTTAAACATCTTCCACCAAAAGGGAAGAGTGGTAAACTTGTTGCATGCTTTCTTGTACTGTAGACAGTATATCATGAAACTTTTTCCTCCAAATTGAATCAGAATGTGATAAAACACACCTGGGGATGAAAACACGGAATAAATAATCAAGTTCAGTTCTGAGGGTAGAAATAAATTACAATGCCACTTGATCTTGAAAAAGAAAACTGCAGTTACCTTCGGAAAAATTTCAGGATAACATTTAAGTTTTCAATGCTCTTTTCATGCACAAGGTCACAAAAATAATGCTCTAAAATGTGAATGTCAGATGAGTGTGGTTGACTTTCTTGAGATATCCACTGCCGTATCATGCACTTTATCTCATTTGTTGTGAGAAAAGATTTTAAAATAGACTCCTTTCTGTGGCAGTGAAGCATCTATTTAAAAAGAAAATTAAAATTAAAACTTGACAAAATCTTTAACTAGTTAAAAAAAACTTTAGATAGGTAAGTTCCTACTTTGTTGGCAACTATTGAATCAGAACCCATGTCACAAACATTTTGGCCTAATCTAGTCTGTCTAGCATTTTCTTTCTGAATCTTTCGCTGATGGAAATCTGCAACTAATTCCTTGCGCATCTGTGAGGGCAGTGCATCTAGAAAAGTTGGATCCACCTAAAACAGAATACTTACTATTATGAAACAGAAAGCATCATTACAAAGCAAGTCAATTCTGCACCAGCATTTACCTGTGAGTATGAAATATCCAGATTGGAAGTTGAGGCCATATTATCTGATTTATTTCCTATATTCTTGCTGTCACAATCCTGTTCAGTGCTGGGGCCAACCAAATCATTCTCAGTATTGGAAGAGTATGCCTCCAAAACTTCATTGCGGATGTCATCGGGCAACGCTTCCAACACCTCAAGGTCAAGATCGTTTGGGGCAGGCAACTTTGCAATGTTGTCTTTGCGACTTGATTTTTTCCTTGCCACCATGAACTGATCAATACCTAACACCCCTTTTTGAGGAAATACTTTAAGTTTTCTGGGTGACACTTTTGGTGCATTGACCCTTCCTTTAGGACTACTCGCTTTGTTGTTAGTCTTAGGAGGGGGTTTAGTGGGTGAAGTGCTTTCACTCTGATTGTTACTTTTGACAAGAAATTTATCCAAAGCTCCACCTGATGAGTTGTTTAAATTTTCCAAGCGAGTTATTGCAATTCCAATGCCTCTCAGATCAGAAGGGTTCACATTTAACTTTTTTAGCATGAGAAGAGCCTCCCTAAATATAGATAGAAAAACAATTGTAGTGGTGGTAAGTTGAAGTTGGCTTGAATACACACACCGAAAACAAAACATACCTTGTTATGGTGTCAGAATCTGAAATAGCCCTAGGGAGTGTGATAGATCTAGTCATACTATCACAAACACCATGACCCATGTACTTAGCAGTTTCTGTGGGTGCATCTTTGGCTCTTACCTATCAGTGGGAAGAAAAAAAAAGGAAAATGGAAAGGATTTGTTAACATGATAATATGGTGTTTTCTTAAAAAACTAAACTCAATTATTTTGATTACAGTATTACCAGTAGTTTCAAAGTAATAGAAGACCCTTTCATTTTAGCCTCAGCCAACCTAGTTTGAACTTCAACAGACAGCTGCCTGATAAAAACATCTGCTTCACCATGATTCTTAAAGCGAATTCCATAGTTAACTTCAGCAGAGACAGATTTTCGTTGGTAGTCAAAATTGAGTGGTCTGTTATCATCCCCTCGGCATTGCCTACATACACATGAAAGGAAAAAAATTAAATCAAGAAAACTAATTTTAAAGAAATTCTGTAAAACAAATATTCCCATTCAAACGTACACACCGAAACAGAAGCTCCCCTGTTTTTGTTCCCAGCTCATTTAATTTTCCTGCAGACATGTTTTGCATTTCACCACAAGTGGAAATGCCCATTCCTTGTAACCGGCTGGCCATGGTATACCCAACACCTGCATCATTTTTTTTTTTAAATTAAGAAGGAAGCAAACAAACCACTATATTTAAAGTTGTGCATTTGTTAAACTGTTTTTCTTTAACCTGGTAGATCCTTGACGTCTATTGTTTTCATAAACTCCAAAACAGCAGATGGCTCTAGATGAAACATTCCATCTGGTTTTGCCTTGCGTGTTGCAAGCCTTGCTAACAGGCGATTTGAGCCAAATCCAGTTGATGCTGGGCACCGTGTCTTCTCCTGTAAGTTATTATTGAAAATGAAAATTAAAAAAATAGACAGTAAATTAAATTTTCAAAAGAAATATATGAACATATACCTTAATTTCTTTTCTAAGAAACGATGCAAATTCAATTGGGGAACAGTTGGCCTTCTGTAAGACTTCAGTGCAGTCCACTAACATTTCATCACAGCTAACAGCTTCAATGTCAACTGTATAACTTTCAAATTAAACAGGTGACTATTAAAGTGGTGTATGAGTACATGGTAGAAAATACTTTAAATTAGCAAGAGCTTCTCACCTGGCAACAGTTCGATAGAGTGCATCAGCCACCTCCTTATAAGCTTCAAAATCATAGGGAATGGTTTTTAAGTCAGGGCACAGTTTTAAAGCTGCTCCAACAAACATTCCGTTCTTAACTCCTTTCTTCCGTGCTTCATAACTGCATGAAGCTATTTCTGCCAAAGAACTTGTTTCATCAATGCCTTCGGTCCATGCTAATTTAGCTTCCACTATACCATCATCATTGGAGCCATTCTTGTTTTTATATTTAGCTTCCAATCTTTCTTTGTAACAATTGAATTCATATTGTCTATCAGAACCACTTCGGGCTGCAGATCCATTTCCTTTGGAATGCGTTACAGCAACTCGCTGCCCCCTCAAATGTGGATATCTACGAAGCCCAACTGATACAAAGAAACAATCCATATCAATATGCATTATTACTTTATCCAGAGAAGATTTCTGGTGATTAGGATGTCCTGACTTAGTTGAGCTTTCATTTAAAGTACTGTCAAAATCTTCATCCTCATAATCCAGATTATTCTTTACTTTGCCATTCTGCCTTTTCCATTCCTGCAAACGCACTAGCCCAGGAAAATCATTTTTTTTCTGACGTAGCTCTGTTACAAGTTGCTTGTACATGGCAGCCATTGTAGAAATATGATGTAAGCGAGAATTATTATAAAATTCAGACAGAAAATTTGGTTCAGTAGCACATCTTGCTTTATTTGACTCTCCTTTTGAGTTTGGGGACACTACAGAGGCTGGACACTTAGGAGGTTCAAAAGTGGTTTCTTCAAAATCTGATGAAGAAAACAGATCTTCTTCTTCACCTTGACCAGCAATGTCACTAACTGTTGAAGCCTTGTTGTTCTTGTCCGTTTTTTCTGCCTCGTCAATGGCTTCATCTTCAGAGACATGTGGGGCAGTAGCCGTCGTAGATGATGAGGGACCAGCAAATGTCCGAATAGATGGCTGAGTCCTTGATTGATGGGATATCAATAAGAATGGGCGGAAGTCAACCTGGTGCTTCGCTTCAAGACATGCTGTTATCCACTCTGGCTTCACTATATTTATGAGGAGACTTTTCATCTGTTTAATTTTGACATCAGGCAAATTAGAAGCTATTATGTGGGTTGTGCGTTCAGTACTCAGGTAGTGATGGTAAACTCCTCCATGAACCATCATTATGCGTTTAATTTCATCAGCACTAGGAACTGTGTACCCATTGACGAAAACAGAAACGTTTTTGAAAATGTCGCTCTTTAGATCTTGACCCTGTTGCTTGACTTGTTCTTGAAACTGATCTTGTAGTTTGTTTTTCTTGGCAGCCATGTATCCTCCCTGAAATATTTTCAAAATAGATGAATTACAGTGCTAAAAAAATTCATGTTTGCTTCACATCTTGCCATCTGAGGTTAAGAGGCAAAAGCCTCCAATATATTGCCTTACCCATTCTTCAAAGCCATTTTCTCCGCCTACTTCCATGCGTTGGCGCTTCTTATTCATGGTGGCAAGAAAGGGAGATACCTTAAAATAATTGGGTACACTTGACAACTGGTGCGAGCAGGTCGGTTTTCTGCCTGTAAAGATTGAATGAGCTTGTTTGAATGTTTGTTTTTGTTTGTTTGTCTTGTTTACTTCACACGTTGACAACAAACGACGATCTGGGAATCAAAAGAGCGCGAGTATTCAAATGTGATTTTTGCTGCGTGTCATAATGACGTAAAGCACTAGTGGTGTGGAGGCACTTCAGTGTTATTTGCTTCATACGAAAAGTTTTTTTTTTTTGTGCACGCGCGACGACAACATCGGGGCCGCAACGACAAAATGACAGTGAAATTCATGCTTCCCGCGAAGCGAACCCGGTGTCCAACATGGCGGTCCATGCGCGAAGTCGACCAATCAGAGTGCGTCTTCCCCGAAGCCGAGTTGACGGTTCTCCAAGTATTGGGGTTCGAAGGCAAAGCTCAGCGCCGCCTGGCCAGGCGTGGTGGCCACCCGCGGAACTACAAACCGATTGTGCCACGGTACTGTCAAATCGCGGAGAGCATGGGACAGCAGACGACGCCGCCGACTAAATATCGCTGACATGTCGAAACATGTGTCGTATCAGCTCTCTAAAATTCATTTGATCTTAGAAAACTTAACCCCGACAAGCGTAATAGCGTAAACGCTTGGCGGAGGCATTTATAAATCTGCTTGAACAACTGATTGGGGTCGATGGTGCTGCTCTCTGGCGGGCCCTCGAACCCCAATTCCCGCCTCTGCAACGGCGCATCGGGGGCAGAAGGAGGGCAAGGGATAGGGGGGCCGAGAGCAGGGGGCGTGGAGGCGGCGAGAGGGAGAGGCTGCGCCGCGCTGCGCAGCGAGTGCGCCGTCCGCCCCGCCGCGCCGCGCGCCGCAGACCAGTGCCGCTGAAACCTCCACCGGGGATGGTCGAGGGGACGGAGCCCCGCCCTCAACCCGGGCGTCATGACGAAGGTCCAGACGTCGCGGCGCGTTCGCGTTTGCAGTCCTCCTCGCCGCCCTCGCGGCCCCCGCGGTCGTCGCGGACGGCCTGGCCGTGGATGCGCTGTCTCGGCATCACCCTGGCCGCGGTGACGCTGGGCGGCGCGGTGCCGTCCGCGGCCGGTCCGCACCCGGGGCCGGGGGTCGTCGCCACCCCGGAGGTGGTGCCGGAGCCGTCAGTGGCCGCGGGCCGAACGTGCGAACCGATCCGCGTGGAGCTGTGCCGGTCCGCCGTCCGCGGCTACAACATGACCATCATGCCCAACCTGGCGGGCCACGAGTTCCAGAAGGAGGCCGAGGGCCACCTCAGCACGTTCGCGCCGCTCGTGCAGTACGGCTGCTCGTCGCAGCTGCTGCTGTTCCTGTGCGCCGTGCTCGTGCCCATGTGCACAGACCAGGTGGACCAGGTGGAGCTGCACGCCCACGGCCAGGCCTCGCTAGGCGAAGTGCACGTCGTGGCCATCGGGCCGTGCCGCGGCCTCTGCGAGGCAGTGCGCTCCCGCTGCCTGCCCGTGCTCCTTAACTTCAGCTACCCCTGGCCGCCGCACCTGGACTGCGCCAGGTTCCCGGCGCACAACAGCCCCGCGCACATGTGCATGGAGGGCCCTGGCGAGGACGACGACGCCCGCGGCTTCCCCCTGGTGGTGGCGGCCGTGCCGGAGCACCCCGCCTCGCCCACCCTGCCGGGCGTGCCCACCGGCGCGCTGCCCTCGCGGTGCGCAGAGGCCTTGCCGCACTTCTCCCGCGCCGACAAGCAGATGGCCGAAGTGTGGCTGTCCATCTGGTCGGGCCTGTGCTTTGTGTCCTCGGTGCTCGCGCTGCTCACCTTGCGGCTGGGGCCGGGACCGGGCCAGAGGCCGACGCCAGGGCCTTCCGGACGACCCGCAGGGGCGCGAACCTCCGCCGGGCCGTCGCCGTTGGCGAGCCTCGCTCTGAGCTACGGCCTGCTCTCAGTCGGCTGGGGCACCCGCGTCCTGGCCGGCAGGTCGACCTCGGCCTCCGCGCTGGCCTCGGCCGTGGCCGCGGAGTGCGACGCCTCCGACCTGAGGAACCCCAATTGCGCGGCCGTCTTCCTGCTCACGTACTTCTTCGGCACAGCGTCCATCATCTGGTAAGCAAGCGAAGCAGGCCAAGCACAAGCGCGCTCCGCTGTTTATCCTTCGGTGAGCTGGCCCAGGGCCCAGGGCAAGGTGGCCGTCATCTGCTATCTGGCGGTGCATCGCGAGTGTGGAGATTTCTCACACTCCCCGCCCCCTCCCCCTTTCCCCTTCCCCCTTCCCGCGTTCGGCCGGCAGACTCTCCCATAAGGCGCTGACAGGCAGCTCAAGCAACACGCATGTGCATGTTGATTGCCTTCTGCATCTGCTGCGCTACACACCGCGATCCCAGGCATGCCGAGGGGGATGGGTCAAATACCAAACAGTTGGAGTTTTAATCATTTCGGAACGCACTGCTTGCTCTCCGAGCAGGATGATTGTGTTGGCGCGTCTGGGGCCTTGGGTAAACAGGCGCGGAAGGATTTTACAGAGACGGCGATCGAGGAACGCGGCGGGACTGCAATGTAAATCTCAGCGGAAGGCCGGTTTGGGCCGTCCGCGCTCCGCCATCTCCGCCAGCTCCACCGCCACGCCAGGGCCGCCCGGGCCGCCACCGCGATGCGCGATGCGCAATCGGGGCGGTTCGCGCTTCTCCTGGCTTCGCCTGGCTTTGCCAGCCGAGAGTCCGACTCCGTCCAGTCAGTCCTGCCAACGCCAACTCCGTAAATTGGTTCCCCTCGTTTGTTTGCGTAAGGAAGCCAGGCGCAGCGAGCAGCCAGGAGCAGCCAGGCGCGGCTCTGCCAGCCGCCCTTCTGCGTCGTTCTGCGTAGTCCCGGGACGCGGCCGCGCCGAATGACCACCCCTCTCCACCCCTTCCCGCCCCTCCCCACCCCTCCCACACGTCGATCACGCCTTCCTCCTTAACACCCTATTAATAATACCTCCGCCCCTCAGCCGCCGCCGTGGCCGCCGTGGCCGCCGTGGGGCGGCTCGCATCGCCGTATCGCTAAAACCGCAGTTTAAGTGCTTCATGCGCCCGCCGGCCCGCCCCGGCCCGCCCCGCCCGGAGCTCGCTCGGCGGAATCGTTTTGCTTGTGCCCCTCCCCTCCCCTTGGCCCTGCATGCCCGTGCATTCACGCCCGCTCCGCCCCCTCTCGTTTTCCTCGAGTCCCTTGCCCCCTTTACGCCGCACTTCCTCCTCCAGCTTCTCGGCGTGCTCGGCTCGGCCGGCCGGGCCATTGTCTTGCGACGTGTGTTTCGTATTTGCGCCAAGGGACGGCCGGGCTGCCGGGCTGCCGGCCGGGGCGTTTAGGCCCGTATGGACGCATGCAAAACAGTGGCCGCGCTGGCTCTGCGCTGCTCCGCGCTCCGCCTCGACAACTCGTTCCCTTTGTGGAAACCGGCGCGGCCAGGCCTCGGCCGCCAGCCCCGGCCCGCCACTGGCCGGAGGGAGGGAGAGGGGCAGAGAATAATGGCAAATATGTCGCAGTGGTTCCATTGGCCCGTCCGCCCCGTCCGCCGGACCCGAGCCGTTTAATTAGCAGCCGGTGGAACAGCACGTAGCGCGACGGTCCAGCAGCGCTCTTGCAGACTTAAGAGTCGTTTTCGTCGCTCTCTCTCGCACCTATAGGGGGCGATGAGTGCGAGAGAGACCGAGCGACGAAAGCGACTCTCGGAATCAGACTGCAGATCAGCGCCCGGATCTCGCATCTTGGACCGCCTCTGCTTCGTTTAGCGGGCGGGGCGCCAGCCGCAAGGCAAGAGCAATCTGTGCACTGCATGCGTGTCGTGCGGGTTGGCCTATCCTGTAGTTCGCGGGCGCCAGCCTCTAGTGGTAATGGCAATGGAGCTAGGCAATCCTAGTCTGTGCCGCACACACGTGTCGCGCGGGCTGGCCTACCCTGTCGCCCGCGGGGGCCTCTGTCGCGCGGGCTGGCCTACCCGGCAGGCGCGGGAGAGCACCCATCGTGTGACTCACTGACGGGCGACGCGGCTCCCTTCCCTGCCGTTGCCGATGGTGGCGGTGGAGTGGCTGGTTTAGCATGCGGCATTCCGATTGAGTCGGATGCCCGGTTTGAATTTGCACAGGTCGTTACTTGGCGGCCATTACTGCGCGCCGCGCGGCCTTGAGGCGGCGATTCCGGACAGTGTTCTGTCTCTCTCGCTTCCTCTTCCTCCGTGACGTGCAATGAGTGCGAGAGAGGCAGAACGATGTGCTGCAGCTACCTGCTCTGCAGCAGGGCCCACGGTGTAATCGGGGCTATTTTTGTGGCCAGTGAGCAAACCAAACGCCCTACCGCTGGAGGCCCGTAGCAGCCAGTGTCCAGACTGCTTTGCGTCCAGCAGGGGCGGGCAGGCAGGCAGGCAGGCAATCGCCGTCCGCCGGGTCGTGGCTCTGGCCGCCCTGGCCGCACTGCGGGGCAGCGGGTACCGGGCCGGGCCGACTCCGTGGCCAAGCGAGGCTCGTTCGTTTTCCTGCATAAAATAAGCAAAAGCAGCGCGGCATGACAGCGCTGGGCGAAGCGGGTTGGGGGGGGGGGGCTGCAAAAGGACGAGTCGGGCAGGCAGGCCGGCCGCGCCGTGCATCGCCCTATCGAACATCGGGACACTCCGGCAGCCAAACGAGGTCTTCTTATTGTCGTCTCGACGCGGTGTCCGGGCCGGGACTCCGGGACTCCGGGACTCCGGGAGGGGAGGAAGGGGCCTGGGCCTGGGCACGCAGCGGGCGCGACGCGGGCGCGACGCGGGCGCGACGCGAGATGCGCGACCGGGGACTCCGGAGAGGCACCGAGAATGGGAAAACGGCGTCGTTTCCCTCGAGTTCTTGCAGTTCATCGGTTGGCAAAGAAACGCACCCATGTACCTATTCCCCAATCCCCATCCCACTCACGATGTGTTCCTGGCCAGTCAGTTGGACTTGACAGAGCGTGGCCGATAGTGGATTCTCCAACTACACTCATTGCTGTTTGATAGTCTGCCTCGATTAAAACGTCTTTCTCTTCCTTTCGTTTCGCCAGGTGGGTGGTGCTGGCCGCCGTCTGGTTCCTCTCGGCGGGGCTGCGCATGTCCCCCGGCTCGCTGCTGCGCCACTCCTACCTCTTCCACCTGGCGGGCTGGGGCGTCCCCGCCGCCCTCACCCTCGGCGTCCTGGTGCTGCGGGACGTCGCCGCCGAGCCGCTCACAGGTACGCGTAAAACTAACAAGCTTTTTTACAAGCACGGACCTTGCTCGGCACAAGCCAGCCCAAACCACAATCATCACACATTTGTCACCTTTGTGACCACATTTTTTTTTACCAGAGTGGTAGATCAAGGAGCCACCGAGAAAAACACGGCAGCTTTCCCGCGCGCACTTTGGGTAATGGAGGGGCCCAGAAGGGAGCGGGAGTGAGAGTGAGAGAGAGAGAGAGAGAGAGAGAGAGAGAGAGAGAGAGAGAGAGAGAGAGAGAGGCAGAGACAGAGCTAGCGACGAGGGAAACGGGCCAGAGCAGCACTCTCGCGCCTCCCCCCCCCCTTTTCCTCCCCTGCACAATCTTAGACCGCCGATGTTTTGGCATTGGCACCAGCATTGATTGGTCCCTCCTCACTGGCTGACTGGCCGGCCACAACGCGGTGTGGTGTGGCACGGCTTCACGCTCGGCTCCCCCGCGCCGCGCCGCGCCACGCCACGCTGCGGACTGGCAATAAATAGCCGCGAGTCTTCCCGTCAGCCCATGTCCCGGTCACTGCCGCCCCCGCCCGCTCCCGCCCGCCCCTCCGCGCCGACGCGGTTTGACGCCGCCGAAGGCGAAAACGCAAACACGGTTCGTCATTGTCTATTTTTCGGGAAATTTGTCGGTCAGAATCCCCGCCTCGCCATTCAGCGCGACGGCCTCGTCGGGCTGCTCTGCTCACTGACGGGCTGACGGGCTGACGGGCCAATCCCGCGGCCGTCGTCCTCATTAGCTCGCGCTGCACCACCGCGTCGCCGCGTCCCCGCGTCGCCCTGCCAGCAAGCTGACTCCGCGCAGTCTCTCTCGCACCCACAAGGGGCGTCCCACAAGAGCGAGCGAGACAGCGACCAAAGCTGTGTGCGGCATCAGCCTGCGGATCATCCCTCACGTCGTGTGCCTTGAGCCATGGGGACGCCCCAGCGACTCGCACACGGCCCGGCGGCGCGGCGCACCGGCCGGCGAGTTGCGTGACCCAGTCCACCCAGTCACCGAAAGCTCATCACGCTCGCGTCTCGTTCTCATTTTGTGCTTTTGTTTTTATTTTCGGGTGATTCATCCGGACGCAGCAATGGGAGGCAGCACGTGTGACGCGAAAGATTTACTGGCGGCGGCGCGGTTAGAATGAAGAGGGAGGGGAGGGCGTCGTGAGAACGCCTCGCGACGCTTTGCAACCCGAAACAGGCCGCGGTGCCGCGGTTTGGGGCGGACGGGACGCGACGAGGAAAATCCCCGGGAAAGCACTAACCCGACCCACGGCACGGCAAGGCCCAAGCTTTTAGGCCACCCGAATCTGAAGCTGAAGGCGCGGCGCTAGAGCCCATCCCCGCCCCGCCCCAGCCGTCATGCCGTCGGCACAAACAGACGGGCCCTCGACGTGCGGGGCGGGGCGGGGCGTGGCGTGGCGGGGCGTGGCGGGGCGAGGCGGGGCGAGGCGCTGCTGCTGTTGCCCTTCCCGCCCGCCGTATCGGTTACCGACCTGCGCTTTTCTGCACCCCGTGAATGCGGTGGACTCTTCCTGCGACGCTAATGCACTGCACCGTGTGCCGCGGTGAGCCATGCACAGCATGCTGGCCGCGAACCCCTGCCGCACCGCGGGGTGCGCTGCGCGGTCGACGACCCGCCGCGGTCCTGCGAGTCCTGACTCGCGGTGTCGGCCGTCGGGGATGCCTCGGGAGCGGGGCGCGGCGCGGCGTGGCGTGTGTCGCGAGCTGTGCTTTGGCGCTGTTGCTGTGATGCTCGAGACCTTTCCTCATTTTAGAGAGCCTTTACTCCGAACAGCGCTACCGTCGCTCTGTCTCTCTCGCTCATGGGGCGTCCCTCAGGAATGAGAGAGAGGACAGAACGACAGAGCCCTGTCATGGACAACGTTTGGTTCGTCGTGTACCCTCTTCCGGAGGGGCAGTGGCAGACAGTTCCGGACGCAGTCTGATCGACAGAACTGTGTCTTTCATTCACGTTCGACCGTCGACCTGCCGCTGCTGGTCTGTCTTCGGACCGCACTCTAGTTCTTCTAGTGCTTCTAGCAGCAGCATCCCATTGAGAGCGCGGCCCGCCCGGGCGTGGCTAGGCGTGGCCAGGCGTGGCCCCCGTGCCCCACTCGAGGGGCGCGTGGCGAGTGAAAAGCACCGCACAGCGCACGCAGCCCCGCGGATGGAGGGCGTGGCGGTGAGGTAAGAGAAGGGGGCCACACCTGTTGGGACCGCGGGCCAGCATCACTCAGCGGACTGATTTCGACCATCTCGAAAGTCGTTTTCGTCGCTCTGTCTCTCTCGCACTCATGGTCGTGCGTCCTGGGAGACAGACAGAGAGACGGAAACGACTCTCGGAATCAGTCTGCAGGACAGAACAGGCAGAGCACCTCAGTGCCTCGTGCCTCGTGCCTCGCGCTGACATGGACCTTCGTGTGCGAGAGTGCGTCACTTTGAGCTAGCCTCGGCCGCCCCTGCGTAACTTCTAAAAGGGCCAGTGGTGTGCCAGAATGCTAGAATGCCAGACTTCACCCCCCAAAGCCTGCGGGTCGTAAAGCATAACCGTGCGTGACTTCAGCTGCACGCAGCACGCGCCACTGTCGGGCGGGGCGGGGCGGGGCGGCCGTGCCCACTAATATAACTCATCATCTCCGGTCTGCTCTGCCTGCTTGCCCCGGTCTGCAGTCGCCAGACGGCACGGTGCGCTGACGGGAAGGTGCAGGGGCGGGCCGGGGCCGAGGCCGAGGGCGCGGGGCGGGCCGATCAGGGCGCAGAACAATCAGTGGCTATTCTCGGAGCGGCCAAGTAAACAGTTTGCGCTGGGCCGTGCTGGCCGTGCTGGGGCTGGGTGTGCCGGGCCGGCGCTGCACAACACTGGACGCGGGGGGCGGGACGTAGCCGACGCCGTCGACGCAGTCTCACGGAGCGGAGGAAGTTGGCGCGGTCCACGGCCCACGGCCCACGCCGCCGGCCCAGCCCCAAACTGCCCGAAACTACTAAACGACCTGTTAACGACCGGCGCGGCGCGGCCCGCCGGCCTCCCCCTCTGCTTGAGCAAGGCCGGCAAGGGCGCGTCCTGTCGTGTGATTCAGAAGAGCGGTTCGTCGCTTTGTCTCTCTCGCACCCTTACGGACTTCCTAGAGCCCTCATGAGTGCGACAGAGACGAAGCGAAGAATCGACTCTTCGGAATCGCTTGGCCTGGATAATGCACTGCGGGATTGGATTGTTTTGTTGACTCGAACCGCTTAAGGTCTGCAGGGTTGATGATGATGGCGACTGGCCAGGCCTATACTGTTAATGACTGTCGCGTTGTTGCAGGGACCTGCCAGGTAGGCCCCACGTGGTCCACAGTCTTCGTGCTGGCGCCGCAGTGTGCCTTCCTCTGCATGGGCCTGCTCTTCCTGGCGCTGGGCGCGCTCACGCAGTGGCGCTCCAAGCCCCCGCCCGCGCCGCAGGTAAGCTCGACCCCTGTGCCGCCTGTGCCCGTCATCGGCCCCCGAGGTCAACGAGATGAGGTACTGTCCGCAGAACTGTTTTTCTCGGCCATCCTCATCCTCACCCCGGTGTTGTTGTTCTGCCCTTGACTGGCTTGACTTTGGTCCGCAGGCGCTGCTGTGGCCGCTGGCCGCGGAGCGACTAGGGCTGCTGGCAGGGCTGTGCGCGCTGCCGCTGGCCGTGCTGGTGGCCACGCACGCCCTAGAGCTGGGAACAGTGGGCACGGCATCAGCCGCCTCCATGCCGCACCTGTCGCTGCGCCTCTTTCAGGTGCGCCTCGTCGCCTCACTCGTGGTGGGCGTCGCGGCGCCCTTCTGGGTGTGGCCCGGCGAGCGTCCCTGGCCGCCGTGCCCGCCCTGGCCGCGCCCGCCGCGCGCCTGGCGGTACCCTGGGGTGGGCAAGGGCCCCGCGTCCTCCAGTGGCGCGCCGGCCGTCGGCTCCACGGCCGCCACGGCCACCACGGCGCCGCTGCTGCCCCCACCGGGCCCTTCGGGCAGCGCGGCCAGCGCGGCGGGATCCGTGATGTCGAGGCCGCCATGCAGCGCCCTGCTGGGCCCCGCGCTGCCCGCCCCCGGACCCGCCCCCGGACTCTGCACCGTGGCCGCCGTCGCCGCGGTCCCACACGCCGCCAACCCCGCCAGGAGCAGAGGGGGCTCCAGGACGCGCACCAGCAACAAGCACTACCGCAAGCACCACGGCAGCGAGACCACAGTGTAGTGCGATGGCTGCCCTGCAAGTTGGTGCGAAACTCGACCAAAACCAATGCAAGTGGGTCCAACCTGCACATAGCAAATCAGAGTCTCAGGCGAGAATAGTCTTCACAAACATGCTGCTTGCGGCGAGGCTGGCCGAGGGCTACTGGATGACCAATCACCCACCTTGCTGTTCTTCAGCAAATCATGTTCTCATTCATTCATAATCACTATATTTACACGTCATCCATGTCGACAAAAATATCATCTCCAATATAAGTGTGTGTTATTTATATTTATTATTATTTATGTATTTATCAGACTTAAACTTTTATCTTTATGTGTATGTGTTTGTAAATATGTTATTTTCTGAGCGTTGCGTCGTAAAGAAATGAAGACTGTAAATTATGTTGTGTTCTGTGATCATAAATTTTTACTTTCCTTGAGTTTGTGTGTGTACCATCCTTCTGATATTGTCCTTAATATTATGTATTTTCATGGGCCAATCGGCCGTCTACAGTAAAGTTACCGCCATTATTTGTAAGCAATCTTCCTTCTATTATTTCGAGTTTTCCTCATCTTAGCGTGCGGCCGCGTTGCGTAGTAGTCAAAGAGTTTTCTCGACAAAATTAAGCTTAAACTCTCTTTTATTTAAGATTATAAAACCCAATCCCAGACATTTTCATGCCTTACCGTTTTAGGTTTGCTGACCCAACTATAGGCTCTCAAACGAGCATCCTAAAAGTCATGTTTGGTTAAAAAGCGACGAAGAAAACTTTACGTCCACCCACCCCCACCTGTCAGGCTGTATGGGCGGGAGTATGCCACGGTTAAAAGTACAATTATTGTATGTAAGAACTGAAATAAATACAAATACATGTAACCCTGAGTGTGCACTTCTCCTCGTTTTATTTCTTTCTCCCCTATTTCTCCCTTCTGAAACCAAATCAAGACTGCGCGATACTACGGAAATCAGCCGACGGCCTTTGTACTTCCCTGCGGGGGCCGGACCGGAACAGTTCGCCACTGTGCCGCCATCTAGCGGCCAACTTCCCAACCTCCATGCCCGCCATGTATACTCGTCCCAGCGTAACCTTTCCGAAAGTAGCCCCTCGTCCGTCTTTTCCCCAAATCGGCGCATTTTATTTCACAATCCTCAGGAAATAAGTATTGATTCTAAAAATAAAGGCGATTCCGGCAGACAAAATGTGTGGGGCTCACTGATAAGCAGTTATTATTGAAACTCTTTCAGTTGCTCAAAGATAATCTAAAAAGTCGGGAGCTCGGTCGGGAGGAGAAGCCGCCCTCGCGCACAAAATCCGGGATATCTAAAAGAAGGCAAAGTTTCGCAAAATAAGGCGATTCGGCAGACACAAATGTGTGGGGCTTTCACTGATATAAGCATTATTATTGAATCTCTTTCACTTGCTCAAAGATAATCTAAAAAGTTGGAGCTCGGTCTTACGAGAGCAGCCTTGTGCACTCAAATCAAAATTTCTGAATAATAAGGCACATTTTGAAAGACAAGGGCCCTGGGCATACAACAACGTCTTAGGTTTAGAGAAATGCAAGCTGTCATTATGATATCTCTTTCAGTCACTCAATCTTAGTGCAAAAAGAGGGTCCGAGAGACCGGTGTTTTGAGGGGCTCGGACCGGCGCGTCGTCTGCCCGCGGAAATGCAGAACCCGGAATGCTTAGTGATTACGTCTAAGATTGTTCGTATTTTTTCAACGTTGTTTACTTATACGATTTATTACGATCGCAACGGTCTAGAATTGATTATTAGTTTTTAAAAATCCTATTACCTGCGGGACTATTTTCTGTTCTCTGGCTACTGGCGGAGTGATTTGGAAAGGTTACGCTGGGACGAGTATAGCGCGAGCCGCGAACGCGAAGACATCTTCCCGAGTTGTGACCTTCCGTGGAAATTTTAGGGTACCCGGAGTTGTGCATGTGTGAAAGTTAGCATTTTATCAAAGGAAGTAAGTGAGCAAGCCCCTCCGCGTCGTGTCTCCGCCCTGAAGTGCAACATTGAGATGAGGTTGACCTATCCGTACAACCGTTTGAATACAAAATAACAGAGAGGTGGTTGACAGTTCGTGGCAAATGGTTACGGTGCAAAGCCTAGGGCCACCTATATTACAAGTGGTCTTCCAAGGTAGTGATGATGCAAGCTGCCAAACGCGCCCAGCCGTCACTCTACATTGATTTTCCGGTAAAACGATGTGCCCTTTTCGCTGCTAACGGTGCCCGCCTCCGTCGTTTTATCCCGATTTGAGGTTGGCCGGGGCGCCCGTTGGCCGTCTCAGCAGGTCTAGGCATCGCGGAGAGCGGCTCGAGGCCGCCGAGCCAAGGCCCTCCTTGCTTCTGCGTGACATCGCGGATGACAATCTGCGAAACCCGACGAGTCCTGCGAAAGAAAGACTCCGCGGCTTCCGGAGAGACCTAGTTTCGTCCCATTCGTTGCAGACGTTCTCGTGTACCTAACCTTAAATTTGATGACAGATGCCTGAACCGAGGCAAACCAAACCTGACACTGCTTCTCATTGATGTTTTTAGCATGTTGAGAGTGACCCAAGTAAGTGACTCCTGTTAATTTCCACTCGGTTGGCGTTAGTAAAGATTCCGTGTTTCTTTTGACCCACTGACTGGATAGTTGTCAAATGGCCAAATCTGCTACTGTGTCATCACATTTGTGTCACAGTTTAATTTACATCTCATGCTGACGAATGTCACAGTTTTTCACTGATAACAGTTAAACTTGCAGTGTGAAGGTTTGGTGTAGCAGTGCCATTTATCAGATCTGCGGGAATTTTAATGTGCTGTGTTGTTTTTGTTACAGTAACTCCAAAGACGGTATTTTGAGGGCATAATCATGGTTCTAGAAAACTTGTGGTAAGTTAGCTTTGCTGCATCATTAAAAATTTTATTTGTTTAGAATCATATTTATTTCATCTGTATTAATGTTTTTCAGGGTTGATTCCGGTGAAGTTAGTGAAACACCTGTGGACGTGTTACCCTCCTCAGCTCCAGAAAGTATGTCTTTATTTGGAACACCAGCCTATCCTCCAATCGGAGAAGGTCTATCTCCATCATCACATGACAGAACATCCAATAAATCCAAAAAGGAAGTTTCACAAACTCGAGTCAAATCTAGTGATGCTTATAACTATGATGAAGTAGATGAAGAGGATGGAGGTGGAAGATCGGCTCACAATGGAGAAGATTATAGATGGTATGTATCTGCTAGATCCAACCACAAAATCACCCCAAGTTAACTTGGCACAGTTGAATAACTATTTATGAAATCGCAGTACAAGCAAATTAATGAGTTCATCAAATCAACACAATTCTAAAAAAAAATTACTCTTTTTTTGCAGGAATGAGGGTCCTGATGGAAATGGACAATATTACTATAGTGACATGAATGCCAGAATCCAAGATGTTTTCAGACCTAGTACATTTGGTCCCTATAATGTTGACATCAAATGTAGCAGCTCAACAAGTGCAAGTCAACCTACCTTACCAACCACAATGCCATCCGCTCCTCCACCTCCTTCCCCTACATTTGGAGATGATGGCAATGGGGATTTATGTTTGCCCCTTGGACTAGATACTTTACTCTCTAATGGTGACCCGTTAGAAGATGTCAAAGGTTGTTTTTAAATCCTTTTCAGAGAAACAAATCTGTTAATAATATTTAAACTGTATAGAGGCTTTCTATCATCCATCTTTCCTCTGTTCGGTTTTAACAGACTCTACCGCTGACCCTGGAGTATGTGGCCTGAGAAATTTAGGAAACACTTGTTTCATGTCAGCTGGTCTACAGTGTCTCTCAAACACTCCTACTCTTTTGCACTTCTTCGTAAATCGGCCTCAGTTGGATAAGATACCCACAGAGTCACTGACTGCTCAGTTTTCAGCATTGCTACATCGAATGTGGAGTGGAGAAAACAGAGTTGTGCACCCTGTGGATTTTAAGCATGCTCTTGGAGTCCATTTTCCTCAATTTCAAGACTACAGACAGGTGACGTTTTGTTGCAGCTTCTGTTAAGGCTATCATGTAGCCTCCACATTCTAGTGCTCACTAACATTTCTCTGTTTTTTTTTTTTTGTTTTTTTTTTTAATATTTAGCATGATTGTCAAGAGTTTCTTGCATTGCTACTAGACAGTTTTCATGAGCAACTAAATTCTGCTGGGCAAATTAGCCCTCATAACCAAGATCAGGTACTTTTTATATTTTTTAAATTAATTTTGATGCTTAGGTATCCTTTGTTTTAAAATTGTTAATAATGTATTTTCTTTCTTTCCAGTCCCGGTCTTTAGACCGATTTAGTAATTCATCATTATCACATAGTTCTGAAAGTTCGGGAGAGACTCAAAACACCTTCCGTATACTGCCCATTCCTTATTGTTCACCATTTCGTCTAGCTGAATTATCTAATGGTGCAAATGCCAACAATCAGGCCATAAACTTATCTTGCAAAAAAGAAAAGAATGAATTAGTCAAGCAAGTTAATTGTACATCAAATGGATCCCACTTACATGGACTTCAGGATATTCTCAAGGATGCCAAAACCTCAAATGTCAATGTTCTAGTTGAAGAACAAGAATCCAACAGTTCCATAAAATTTGATTCTGATAAGTTTCCACGTCACGACATTGCTAAATCAAAGGAGCTGGTCAATCAAAACTTAATGGAGTCTTATGAATTTGATAGTAAATCGGTTAGTGTGAAACGAATTAAAGACACTAACAGAACCAATGAGCAAAGGGACTGTGAAAATGCTGAGTCTAGTGGACTAGACCTCAAGCGCATTAAGCTAACTGAACAAAATAATTGTAAAAAGGAACTTATTTGTTCTGCTCTTGAAGGTGACGAGTCAGTTGAAATTTCTGTAATTGAGAGCTTGAAACACCCTCATAATGAGACCCAATCTGGAAGCTCCAACGGTAAAAGTGTTGCTGAGTACTCATCAGCTGGCTCATCATCCTCTACGCATTTGACTGATGCTGAAGACTGTGTAGCTATGGAGTCATTTCCAGACAATGGAGAATCCTCTAATTCACTGAGTGGATCAAAACTCAAAGAGGATGTTTTAGCAGATCATCATTGGGAGAAGCACCTTTCTTCAAACCAAAGTACTATTGCTGATACTTTCTTAGGCCAATTCAAAAGCACTGTAAGTATCTTCCTCCATTTTGCACAACTGCCTTTGTTTATCAGTATATGAATGGGAACTACTGTTATCACCAGGTTGTCTGCTCGGAGTGCAAGCATGTATCTGTCACCTATGAACCATTCATGTATCTTTCCGTACCACTACCTCATGCAATGGAAAGACAACTATGTGAGTTTTTTTAAACAGTTTTATCTTCATTGGTTGTGAAGTTGTGTCTGGTCTATATTTACAAGTTTCTCTCTGTGTAATAATATTGACAGGTGTAACTTACGTACCCCTCGAGACCGAACCTGTTATTAAAATTCTCCTGATACTGAATAAGCAGGATAAAGTTCGTCATCTCAGAGATGCAATTATTGATTTAAGATTAAAGGAAGGGCATGTCCTAGATGAAGGAGTAACAATTGTGTTAGCAGAAGTGCTGGATCACCATATTGCCAAATTTCTTGTATGTGAGAGTTTTAATCCAATTTTTTGGTCACTTTTGCTATGTTATTTTGTTTCTCATTTGCGTTTTCTTATCTTTTCAAGGATGATGCAGCCCCTTTGCGGTATGTCAATGACACTAATAGAACAATTTATGCATTGGAAGTGATTCCTCCTCCTGCCTGGTACAAAACATCGAAGCCAACCAATGAGTGTATGGAATTGATAGATGTTCCAGACCCTCTTGAAGAATCGGATCTGCCTGTGCTGGTGATTATGTCAAGCTTGTTGTTCCCTTTTGATCATATAAGGTTAGCGTGTATGTTCTGATGTTTATTTTAACTATCAGGGATGTGAGCCTCCGCCTTTGGTTGACTCGGAGACAGGAGAATGTCTAGATGACAAACTCACTGCAGATTCAGCTGGTGTTTCTGATCATGAGGTGACATCCAGTGATGATGAGGATCTAGCTGACAAGTCAGGCAGCCCTCCTGCAGGGCTTCCGCCCAACCGTCCATTTGAACATCATTCTACAATGAGGGTAGATGTTGTGACTGATACTTACAATGGCTGTGACCGTGGTGACGATTGGAAAAATTGTGCAATTTGTTTGGAGGAGATGAACAAAGATATGAGACGGCACGTAGGTTGTGATTGTGTGCTTTGTGAGGGCTGCATAGAGGCAAGTATCTATTTCATGTGTCTAATGTAAGCTTGACATCGGTTAAATCAATACCTTCTCATTTGTTTTTATGTTTTTTTATAGAATGCATGTAAGCATCATGGTAGTACTGATACAATGCCATGCCCAACATGTAATCAAATTGTAAAACCAAATTTAGAATTTGTTCGCATAGATAAATTTATATCATCAAAACCTGCTCTTAGGTAAGTGCAATCTGAATCAGTTCTAGTTGTTAAAATTCTGCTCCTATCACCTATCGTACTTTAATCTTATTTTTCCCTTCAGGCTTTTAAATGTACCAGTGGTGTTCCGATTAGATACTGGTGGGGATGGCAATAATAACCAGAAATGTTTAAAGTTATTCGGTCATCCTAATGTTTTGAAGCTGCCAAGTATAATGCCTGCCACTGAGCTTGCTTCAATTATTAAAAGACTGGTTCATACTGATGTCAACTATTCCATTGTAACTGTTGATGGTGTCGTAAGTACACTTGAACATTACCTCTCTTACTCGTAATAGTTGTAATTATCCTTCTTATCCTTTTTTTCTTGTGTCTTGTTTACAGGGCTATCACTGTTCGCGTTGCCTATATACTAAACACTGCCGCGGATGCGCCGTTGCCTCTGAAGGAGAGGTGGTGCTCCGTTCAGCAGATACTTTAGCTATTCGATTTACTGAAAGTATTAGAGAACCTGAAGTAGTGAATCATCCTAGCATGCAAGACATGAGAAGTCATGAATCTCTCTCTTTATATGACTGCTTGAAAGCTTTCAGTGAAAGGTGATAGTTAAACTTGTTGTAACCGGGGGAAGGGGGGGAAGGAGTGTCTTTTTCCCATGACTTTATTCATGTTTATTTGTTATTTTAGTGAGCTGCTTGATGAACAGAATCCTTGGTTTTGCCCTACCTGCCAAAAGAATCAGTGTGCTACAAAGACACTCTCTGTGTGGAGATATCCAGATTTCCTCATTGTTTACCTAAAAAGGTATTTAATTTTGCTGAAGTTTGGAACAAAGTACAATCTGAACAAATTTAACTTATCAGGAATTAATCTTTCCCCAGGTTTGTGTTCCATAATGGAATGAGTACAAAGCTTGACAACAAGGTTACATATCCTCTCAATGGACTTTTAGTGAGTGCGACTGGGTCTAATCAAGAAACCCCCCATGTTTACAACTTGTATGCTTGTGTTTGTCATTATGGTGGTAAGTATGATAAGGTAGATATTTAAGAAACTTGTCAACAGTAACAAATAATAAAATCATCTTTTGATCATTTATTTTTGTTTAGGTGTTTCGGCCGGCCACTACACGGCTTATGCTAAACATCCTGTAAATTCTGAGTGGCATAGTTTTAATGATGAGACAGTTATACATCAAAAACCTCAAGATGAAGATTATAGTAATGCATACATTCTGTTTTATCAGAAGCAAGGCAAGCTGTTCTTAAATTTTCTGAGCCTTGAAATGAATTGTTTATGATTGGTTATTAATAACACTGCGATGGCCTTTACAGGTGTTGCCTTCCCTGAACTAAATTTGGAAGAAGCAATGAAACCCAACATCGATCACTTGATAGAGAGGCTTGACTCCACAATGGACCAAGATATGGGCCAGGAAATGAGCTAGAGTGTAGCAGGAATTGGAACTTTGTTACATTGCACCATGGCATATCATGAGTGGTTTTCATATTATGGCAATAGTATGTTTCCTCTAGTGAAGATTTTCCTAATTCTATTAGGATAAGGTTGTGTTTTAAACCTTGGTATACTGTAATCTCTAATACTCAAATCCCTTGCTTTTGTGCTTTCTGATATCCATCATGTCATGTTTGGTGAATATGCAATGAATTTCACAGAAATGTGTTGTCGCAGTTCTCAGTATTTTTATTCCCCTAAATTACATCTTTTATTTCTTTTTTTTTGTTTTGAGGGGGTGGATTGTCCCATTTTTATGAAATTAGGTTTTAGGCCCTTTGTTTGTTAGGTTCTATTGCCCATAGCATCTAAATGCTTACATTCTACATGTATGAATGTTTCCAATTTGTTCTCCGAGCGCTGTCAATGAACTTTACATGAAGGCTGTCCTTCCCAAGTTCATCATCTAAGAATGAACACACAGCTTCTCTTTCATCCTGAAAGTGAAATTGAAATATGAGATGTAATGTGACCTTTGACTTTGGGTATTTATATTTTGCATATTGTCAAATACCATAAACATTCATTCTATATTTCAGAAACTTGAAAGTTTTCTTCAAAGATGGGACTTTTGTCTCTTGTGTGATAAGTAAATTTATGAGCTTACTTTTCTGGATGTTAATAAGTGGTATGTCTTGCCTTGACTCTGTGTTCTCTCTTATCTGGAAACTGCCAAGTTACCTCTTAATATTTTAGTTTGATTCTACTATCTTGATATTTTGCATTTGTCTCAAGTGAGAGCTTTACATGAGTTATTACTTATTTTGTAAGTATTTCTTCATAGAAATTGAAGATTGTTCTCTACCTGCTGTGTTCATCCATCCTTTGCACTGATAGTACAAGTGATGCTCAAATTTGCAATAATTGAGCAAAACAAAAAGATGCAAGTTTCTATCCTGCATTATTTGTTGAATAAAAAGGCATGTTAGAATATAAGAATAACGTTGAAGTGAAGTTTACTACGAGCTTACTCAGTTGAATCTGTTTCCCATTCTGTAGCACCTGAGAGAGAATGTTTCAATAATCCATTTATGGGGTTGGTGCATTTTTAATCAAAGCTGAAACTCATTATTTTCTATTGTTATTTTAGTTTGTCTAATCACATTTGTTGTATTATGTTTGTATACTTTTTATTTTGTCTTATCCCTTATTTGTAGCAATCATAAATACTATTTATGAATCATAGGTACATCCTTGTACCACACAACTTTACAGTGATACTGTTGTTAATAAAATTCATGTTAATCATTTTGTTGAAATCTTTGTGGTTGGTTGCCTTTCTTTAATATGTCCTTCATGCTACTTGAAGTGTGGGACTACTACTTCTAGTGTACCCTTATAACCATTTGTTTGAACTTGGGTTGAATTGAAAAGTTTTGTGTCACTGGAGAAACCTCCCTTTTCCCTTTGTGACCTCATAGTGAATGCGGCTATCACCAAGCCCTTCTAGACAAAAGCACTTCCCTCAGACATAATTAATTCTGTTGTATATCTGAAAGCATTGGGTAAAATTGATTCACTCATAGTACATATATGTAGTACATAGTGGTAAATAATGGTGTTGGGAAACAGAAGCAATGTGATTTAGCTGTCTGATTTAATTGAATACCTCCAGTGATTTTTGTTTGGAAAATGGTTTGTGTTTTCTTTGACATGGTGCCTGTGCATTGTGATTTTGTTGCAATTATTAGCAGCATTCGTTTTGTTTTCCTTTTCCCTGTGTGCAATTAAGTAGCGCTAGACCAATCCTGATGGAATGACCATTTCAGGAACATGCACGTTTTTAATAGTACAGCATTTTCAGGAATTATGAAGCAAGAAGTCATAATATGAGTGTTGGTCTGACCTACAGTAAATTGTGAATGATATGATGGAAGGGGCCTCAGTTGTTCAGCTGTTTTGTACTTACATCTCTTCCACACAAAGTCTCATTCAGACGCATTCACGCTGGTTTCCATGTTGCCACCCTTCACCTACAGTAATGTGCGCTGGGCATCGAAAAAATGCCAATGATTTGGTTCTGATGATCAAGCATAACCTTTAAACATCTGTTGCAAATCTGTGATATGAATACAAACATACATACTCGAGGATTCAAAAGAAGTGTGTTTTGCAGTATTCTATCATGATCATTTGTTCACTTTTTAATTTGTGATTTTCACATTTTAAGTTGTGATGATGTGTTACTTTTTGTTAAAACTTTTGTTGTTACAGTCCTTATGCATTTTCCAATTGTCCCGCCAAAAGAAGTAAATGCAATTTTATAAAACATCATTAATAAACTCATCTTTGTTGTGTAATGATGGTAGTGTCCTTTTCACATTTGCCTATGCCTACACACTATGCCCTTGAGAATGTATGAAAACCTAAGGAGATACGACAGATTCAACTCAGAATCTTGTAAGAAAACAGGGCAAAATGGTACGTAGGAGCAGTGTATGGGGAGTATATAAAAAAGGGAAATAACAAGTACTTACTTCCAGTTTTTGTATTTTTTTTTCCATGGAAATGAGGAGGTAAATAGATCCATTGACAGACATAGAAATAACAGAATATGTTGCATATCACATTTTCCAAGCACACAAGACAAATCATTTTAATCAATATTTTTTAAGTGCTATCATCCACCAATGTTGCATTTTGTAATGACAATTACAACAGCACATGTATACATTCACCACAGCTTTTATACATATTGTATAAACTGATCGAAATATCTTAACGAAAAGAAAACTGCAAAAGATTTTGAACATTTTCAGAGCCACAAGAAATTAGCACATCTATCATTTCTTTTATTTATTTATTTTTTTAAACTGAATGCGCTAACTTGGTTAACATAAAAATTCAAGAGAATAACATACAGCACTGGTATATGGCTCATTGTTTTACTACACTCAATTGGGTAAAAGCACACAGCTACTAAAGATTAAACTTTATTTTCATACATCTCATTTTACAGATAAAATTACAATCTACAAGTAACATAAATCCATCTGGAAAAAAAAATCTTAATTATGTACAATAAAAGCATGAGGAGGTACTATGATCACACTAATAACTGGTTAACAAAACAAAGCATCTACAAAACATCAATGACTATAAAGCATTCCTACTTTGAGGTATTTAAAAGAAAAACAAATAACATTTATAAATTTGATTCAAAGCTTGTACAACACATTGAGCACTGAAGAGTAAGACTATTTCATAGGTTTACATGCAGCTTTTTTTTAAGTTATCGTTTTTTAACATTTAAGGGCCCATGTAGTAACTAAATAACCAAGCCAAATTACTCATTAGAACACAAAACTAAAAACGCATTTGAGTTTCATTGAACATCAGCACTAGTGATTAAAAGACCTATATTTCATTATGTCAGGTTTTGAAAGATGTGATGTCAAGCAAAATGTGTTGTTTATACTAGGTTCAACAAGGGAAATGGTCAAAGCCAGCGATGATTATTGAATGAACTTCGCTAGGTCTAAGGTACCACAGTAACTTATGACCACATCTTCAAACCATTCCCAAACCATAACCAAAACAAACAAGCATGAACCAAGTTTAAAACCCTCTTCCACCACAACTTAAAAGGTAAGATTTCTTTTTCCTAAGTGGTGATTACATGAACAGCCGAGTGAACTAAAACTCCTCCGCTACAAAACATAAACGTACATCCGGAAGTATTTGTAACACTTAAGCAACTTGAAATGATACACTTATTATCACATAACAAATAAAAACTCATAATATCCAGTGTTGGAAAAATATGTAATTATAAGGACATTAAACGAAAGCATAGTAGTTCACTTAAAATGAAAGATGTAGCAGTTTGAACCAGGGAGACCAGGGAACAATCGCCAAGAATTCCAACAGTGTTGCAGATCAGTAAAAAGTAAAGTAGAAAGTCTTTGCTACATGAAGAGTACAAGGACTACCATCAAGTTTCTAAGAATCAGTTCCGACAGGCATCAGCGTTCCAGTCTTACTGCATTTTTTCAAAATGAACTGAAGAAAAAGACAGATGCTACCCTCTTTGTATTACAGGTATTAGTATTTTTAGTTTAAACAGGAGCAATGAGATATGTTTTCAAAGGCAGCAAGAATGACTTACAACCAGTGGAAAGAAACCAGTGGAAAGAAACACGACTACATAGCGTAGGACACTAAGAGTTTCAATTATGTTTTGGTTAAAGGAAAGAATCTGGTAAGCTAACTAACATCTGAATATTCCAAAATATCACACATAATGTGGCATTCAATGACACAGCCAAAAGTTTACATCATAGTTAACCTGGAAAGCGCAAGGAAAAAGAAGTAACCAATTATTGAGCCACAGTGTTTTAAGCGGAGAAAAATTCAGCATGTGGTACTAATAGCAATCCAATGAGGCAGATTCCACATTATTTTAAACACTAGACAAAAGGATTTTGTTGACATCCTCTTGAAATAGAATACAAGGAAGAAATCTTCAATGTATCAGAGAAGTGTAAGTATCTTAAACAAGCAAAACATTGTTACAAAGAGAGGGAGAGCAAAAGTCAGAAATGTACCATGGCAATTCCAAAATGAAATGGCCATCATTGGAATGGTAAAACACTGAAAAGAAGTAGCTCAAATTTGCTGCATTCTAATGCATCTTTTGCATCTCCACCAAATTGAAAGTGAAACTTCTTAGGACATCAGAATTTATGCAACAAGATAAAATCAAAATTGTTAGCTCTAATTCAAACAACACAATAAATGGGTACCGTGCATTTACAGATAATTATACTTCCTGAGGTTTGTCTAGCATGGAAGTTGTTTGATGTCAAAGCAAACTTAAAATAGAAAAATTATAACAGGAGAAACGTCTCAAAGAAGGGACAGCTATAGAAGATGCAAACTACAAAGCGAAAATTAGCGGCCATTTAACAGCTACGAACAGCAAATCACAAATGTGTAAGGCAAGATCAAAACCAGAATTCTTCTAAATTGTCCCTCTCAATAAAACCAACACAGCCAGTAATATGTCTGCCTCCACTGTTAGACATCCCCACCAAATAACTAAACATCTATTCAGTATTTACCTTCCACATTATTGACTAGCCACGCATACAAATCTACATACATACAAACCTACATACCAGGTAAGTGTTCAGTTACTAATATTATACAACAAATATGGGCGAACAAATCAGAGAGAGAAAAAAAAGACAGTTCCAAAAAAAGGTATATCATACTGAAATGAAAACAAAAAACATAAATGAGAAAAAGCCTGGGGATTAATCTAAGTTACATATCACTTCCATAGATTTTTTAAAATCCTAACACACCACTTAACCTTCGAGAAAGACAAAATTTATTAGCACCTTCATATAAAATACATGGTATAAAAATCAGTGTCAGCTATGACTCATTTAGGCATGAATGGTTTGGCTCAGAAATTAACAAAATCTAGCAAGGAAGTCAATACAGCATAAGACAACTTTGGCAGTATTAGTGGTGTTAATAGGGTAGCTCATAGCTTAGCACAAAACCACACAAATATGCATTCCATTCTCAACTTTACTATCACAATCATTACATAATCCATCACAAAACATCAGTCGCAACATATTACTTTTGTATCAAATGTGTGTTGTTTTTTTTTGTTGATTTTTTTTGTCTTTAATTTTGAAGGCACAGTTTCAAACATTTTTCTGACACTATGTCTTGTTGCCATAGTAAAAAGAAAAAAGAAAGAAGGAAAGAAAGGAAGGGAGAAATGTGGACAATTTATAACTAGTGCAATTGTGCACATTGTTTCCATTATTTTTGAAAAGCAACCTTGTTACTAGCTCGTCATCACCAGAGCATTCTCCCACACATTGCCTTTTAATGAAAACTGAGTGAAATGAAACAAAACAGAACAGTTTTCAGTATTTGAAAGCACTGATAGCCTTTTTGAAACTGAAGCTCTACCCATACCTGCATGACAAATTAGTCACAGAAGTACTTGCAGCCTTTTTTTTTTTCACTTGATTATTAAAAAAAAAAGAGGTTCCCTAAATATGAATTAAGACGTTACTTAAAATTAGATGAGAAAGGCAGCAGAAAAGCTATTCTGTAAAATCTGAAGTCAATGATGTAGATTGCAAGCAAGCTTATTCCACAGCAACTGAGCCTCAAAATCCACACAAATTTATGATTGGCCGCAATAGATTTTAAACAGAAATAATTTGTCAAATGAGCAATGTGCAAGGTCCACAGTACACCAAGAGAATATTGTTTTATGAAAAATATCTCACTCCAGTCTTTGCCTTTGAAAGAAACAAAAACAAAACAACATATTTTTCCCATTCAAAACTTTTCATGTTAATTAAAAAACACCTCAACACTGTTCCCAGCACTGTATCAAGAGTTTACTAAAAGCTTCTGTTGTGTAGGGTAAAACACACATATGTTTTGATTTTGAAAACACTAGTGATGTTAAAAAGATATCAGCATATAAATATAAACATTTCATTCAAAAAACCTATTAGTACAACTTACGTTGTAAACTTGCATTTTATCAGCTTTCTTGCACTCCAATAAGCTAGGTTACTACGTTAATGTTAATTAAAGAGAGAAAAAAGTTATCTCAAATCTGCAAGCTGAATGGAATACTTGGTGCTGAAATACAACACAGCCACTTTTATACACATCATGGCCAATTTAAATGATACTTTTGCTAGCCAGCAGTAAACTTACTATCACAATCCTGCTTCAACCTCTTATGACTTACTCTCTTTCACAGCAAAATTTGTGGAACATTATCACAGGTCAACATCCCTAATGTGTTGGCCGAAGATATAAACCTTAGAGCGGTAACCATAACCATCACAGATCCTCTATCAATGACCATAGCAAAATATGGCTCCCTGACTGCTGTACGGTGACAGCCTGTTCACTAGTGCACTAACATCAGCTCTCTCTGACTGAGATCTTGAGCATTTCCCCATTTTTCATACGTTTCATTTTAAGTAGGTTTGGTACCGGTAACTTACTGTTTCCAAGACTACATCATCATACCTAACAGGTAAAAAAAAAGTAAGAAAAGTATGCAACAAGAAAAAACTTAAATAAAAAGCAGAGTACTGCAGAAAGAAAATAATAAAAAACTAAAAACAACATAGGTGCAAATTTTTTCTTGCCCTGGTAACAGTTAAACAGCAAATTAATCTAAGGTGTAGCCTGAAATTAACGGAATTCTCTTTCCAAGCTTTGCTGATCTATGTGAGCATAAAGCAGCACCTCCCTATTGGTCCCCATGGCATGAAAATGAAAGAAAGATACAACACGAATAGAAAAGAGTAAAGCACTGACAAGAAAAATATCCATACCAAAGAACATCCCTACCCATTCTTATTTGGTCTGCCCGATATGAAAGAACGAGAGCACCAGTGATGCAGGCACACACCCCATATCCATCAACACTCCACATAAACCAATCACAGCTCAACTTCTCCAGTAATGGACAATCACAGTTTAGTTAGCTGACAATCACAGCATAAATATGGTACTCTAATCAAAAACCGAAAAATGACAGCAAACTACATTGTGTGAGATTTGACATGCACTGTAAGGTGGCCTTTCAGCTTGTATGATTTGTTGCACTGAGTACAACGATAAGGCCTACTATCACTATGTACTTGCTTATGACGATACAATGTGCCTGACTGCGCAAAGGTCTTGCCACATACTTGGCATGCGAAGGGGCGTTCCCCTGTGTGGGAACGTGTATGGTCTCGCAGTAAACGGGCATCTTTGAAGCATTTCCCACATCGATCGCACCTTAAAATAAGAAACATCTTGGTCAGATACAGTTCTAAGATAATACATCTTTATGAAATCCCACACCTACCTGCAAGGTTTAGGAACAGGTTTGGCCCCTGGACCATGTCTGCATTTGTCACACAGCTGAGGGCTCCTCACCCAGCGACTGGAGAAGGTCTGATTACAATCAGTGCAGGTAAATGCTCGTTCTTCTGCATGGTAACGCATATGGCAGGCCAAAGCCATTTTAAGACGAAATCCTCTGCCACATGTGGAGCAAATAAACATGCTGCCGTCATTCTCAGTTGAGAGTTTTTGATCCTGAGATGAGGTGCTAACTTCATTCAGCGACTCTCCTGAACTGGAGGGATCATTGGTTGTTTTTTGTTGAACTTTCAATTTTTTCCTATGGGTTCGCTTGTGCATAGACAATTTGTTTCTGCTTGCAAATACTTTATCACATGCATTGCATGCAAATCTTTCCACTGGAGGTTCTTGGATGGAAGGATTCGAACTTGAGTTAGGACTCAATTCATGTGATGTATCCTGGTTAATATCTTGGCCATAATCGTTGATTTGGATGTTGGTGGTACGACTATGCACATTAATTGTAATGACACTAGCTTCAGAATTCACAGAGGTTGTACTTGGGCCCACTCCTGTGTATATACTGATTGGATATGGTGATGTCGATGTCAGATTGCTTCCATCTTCCTCCAACACAGGTCTGAAAACAAGTAATTTGTTGTGATTATGACAATTAAATTGAACAAGCTATTTAAGAACAAGTAATTAAGCCCCATACCTGTGTTCATGGTCTGGCTTAGGACTCACACTCATATCCTCTGCCAGCCCTCCCTGCTCTGAAGTGATCACACTCGAGGGTAGCAAAGTACTGATTTCTACCTGGGTGTGGTTTCCATCAACTGAAGACTCAACAAACGAATCCTTGTGTTCACTCAATTCGTTCACAAACCTCTCAGCCACTTGCAAATATGGAGAAACAGGTATGGTATTCATACTCAGCTTTGTGTCATTTCGACTAGCAATGGAAGAATCATACTGTAATCTAGTCAGCTCCAAAGTGTTGACCCATGAGTTGTCAAGGTCTCGATCATATCTTTCTGGTTCTAATTTGATGGGATTATTTGGGGAGCAAAGCATCGTTTTATCTTCTCTGTCCAATGAGCTTGTGTCAAATTCCCAGGCCTTCCGCTCTACCCTGCCATCATCTTTTCTCATAATTGGATAAACAGGGTCAATATGCCTCATGTAATGGTGCCGAGAATCAGTATGAATAAACGAATCATAGGACAAGGGCTGGCTAATGTCAAGAACCTGGACTGACTTTGGTTCACCAGTTTGTGAATGAATGGGTGATACACTGCCATCTGGACAGCCATTATAATAGGTGACAGGGGTATAGCCGTTCCCTGACATTGGGTTGGCGTAGTCTGCCGAAACTGGCAGGACGACAGGTAGATAGGCAGGCAGAGCAGAGGGTCTGGCAGAGGAGGCCTTTAGAACATGAGCTTCCAAGCACACTTCTTCATTGTTTTACAAAAACCAGCTGGCTGCATTTTCTTGTGAAATATAAAGATGATTTATTTATCTGAAACAGATAAATTATTTTTAGTAACATGAATGCAGTACCTTCACTATTTTAGTGTCAATTAATTAATTTTTTTAACCCCAAAATAGGAACAAAACAATGCCATATAGAAATTAAACCAAAATGTCAAATAAAAACACAATTGACAGTCTTTACAAATCTGCATACTTAAACATTTTGAGTATTTACACAGCATGGGACAAGCCAAAAGGAAAATAAATGCCTAAAACTGTGAAGATGAGCGCCATATGCACCCTATAAACCTTGTAATGATCCAGCCTAAACAATACAGACAGTCCAAGGACACCTTGTAGAATTTGGTGATATGATTGATTACTCATTTATATCATACAACTATCCTCTAACCTTAAACTGACATTCAAAAAAAGATTAGGCCGGCAATAGAAAGATATCATCGTATTATTTCTATAACAGTAACAGTAATTGCTTACTTTTCATTTCACTCAGGCATGAAGGTCAGTACATTAAAGGTATTTGTTACTATAGCAACGCCATTTTCGTTGTCACTTAGCAGAAGATAAAGTAAAGAGGAACGAGTATCGTGACGTAGATAATATTCCAATTAAGCTCTCTCGCATAAACATTAAGCATTATAAACGAAGCTATTGTAAAAACAGGCAACACAAACAGCATGTGACGTGAGAGACTACATCAAACAACCAACGAATCGCACCAATTTTGATCAATTAATTTAGATTTGAATGGGAGGATATCCAGACACAAAGTCTGTCCTTCAGATACCGGAGATAAGGGGATGTATCCAAACACACTTCGCTTGTATCGATTTGACAAAAGTCAAAGCAAAATGCAAATGTACTTACGGAAAGTCCTTAAATTGATGCTGAAATTTTCAAAAGTTTCCAAACTTAGACACTAAAAACGATAAAATAACGTAGCCATTATATGTATTCTGCTACGTTTTCCTAAAGCTTTTCTTGCTCCTCACTTCTCTGCAGCAGCACGGCTAGCAGACAGCAAACACTGCTTCAGCCTGAGATTTCACCTTCAGTCGGAAGATTCTATCACACACCATTTTCCGGAGACGATGTTTCAAGCTTGCACAGCAGGAGGAAACGACGCCCAAGTCGCTGCACGAGTTGACATTTACGAAGAAACCATCAGTCAAGTTAAAAATTTGAGTGAGTGGCGAGTGAGCCGACGCCAAGGGCAACTGCCCGATCGCTGTGCCGCCCGAGCGACGCTGAGACGTCCCAGCCGAAGGTCTTCCCCCTCCCGCCTCCCCCGCCGCCTCGCCCGTCTCGCGTCTCGCCCGCCTCGCCCGCCTCACCCGCTCCTTGATTCCGCCGTTGCTAGGCAGAAGGAGCGCGTTAGTGGTGGGCTTGGCCGCTTGGCCCGACCTGGCCCAGCCCGGCCCCTCCTACCAAATTTCGGGTATCAACTCCGCTCCTCGACGGATTCCCAACAAAACAAACGCGTGCCAAATGGGAGCCCCCCCGGCGGAACGCCGCGAGTCTGGAGTCAGGTGTGCACAGGTGCAGCAGTCCAGGGGTGTAGGGCGGCAGGGCATAGCTCGCATAGCGGGGCGTAGCGCCGCGTAGCAGGAGCAGGGAATGGGAGTGGCTCATGCATGGCGGATGCGAGGTCCACGGTTTGGTTCGGAGGCAGCCTTTAGCCGAGTCCAATCGGCATCTGTCGGGACCGAAACAAAAGTAACCAGTCGTATTAGGGGCCCGACAAGTACGGGGATCAATTTGTCTCCAACTCGGTCTTTATTTTTAAAAAATCGACCGCTTGTAGGAAGTTGATATTTATATCTTCGGTAGGAACTAGTGGCGGGGAAGTACTCGAAGTTAGCCTTTGCTTCAGGCTCCCCTGGGTCTCACCTTCGACCGTTCTTGATTCATATTTATTTTCTCTTCTGATAGAATTTTTACAAATTTTCGCGTAAATCCCTTTTGCCTTATTATGTAATTACTTTTCTCCACACAATCGAAATAAAGTTATTTTTGGGTTGGAAGGCATCCCTTTTGAATGAGATCAGTCCTTTGATTTTTTTTCGGCGGGGATTGTGTTTGATTTGGTGTAATAATTGCGACAGTTCCAGTTGCGAAGAGGAATGTGTATCAGGAACGTCCCTAGGTGTTCAGTATTTGCAGACATTGCACTGGCCCACTGGCCCGGGCCCCGGGGCGAGCCCGTTGGGCTGCCTACCCCTCCTGTTGTAGGCGCTCAGGCTAGCCACCTGCGAGCCGCCGCGGCGCCGCCGTTCGGAAGCGGAAAGGATTTCAAGAAATAAAGGTCCGACGAGGGGTGGTTTGTCGGCAGTAAAATTTTATTGTTTCTAGAATCTTGATCAAAACGAGAAATTTGCGGTATCCTGCATAGAACTATGTTGACTTATGATAATTACTTAACACTCACACAACACAAATTTAACACAACATTCGCTCGTATAACTATACACTTGCTCTAGGCTGCTACAAAAAAGAGACAGGAGAGGATGAGATGAGATTATTTCATGACACGAGTCCACCAGAAAGCTCAAATGCTTCACACAGCAAAAAATAACTTAAAGCTATCATGTTACTGGATTTCATCGCGCACCTTCATGTAGTGATGTTCATTATTTCTGTTTTTAATGCAAATTAAACCAAAGTACACTTATCATCTTACAGTTTTTTTTTTTTTTCAGAATAAAAAAACAAAATAAAAAAGTGAAATTTTTAAGATAAAGATAATCAAATGCAGACTTTGAATCAAACAAAGAGCGGATAAGCACTAGAGGTAGTTTTATAAGAGTATCTTATAAGTATATATGTATAAAATTGTCTCTCTGAAAAATTTCTCAGATGTTGTAGCATTTACTCCTTTATTTTCTTTGAGGCGTTTGGATGGGGTACGTACATCTAATAAAACTAAAATTGCTACAAAGTTAAGTATCGAGTGAATGAAGCAAAAAGTCGAGATTTTCGAAATTGTTCTTTTCTTCTACGTACCCTCGTGGTACAATCAGGAAATGAAACGTCAATACATTACTTGAGTATCACCAATTTACAATATTATATATATCTCTAACACAATGGTTCACTGATTGCTGACAAGTCAGTGCATAATATACAAAAAAATACAAAACAATTAATATTACAGTCATACAACGAGAAAACAATGGAGCGTCATCTTTCGAGGGGAAATGACTTGGTTCGTCGTCAGTGGCCGCTGTAGTTCTTCGCCAGAGAGGACATACCCGTGGCACCGGGACGGTGTGGGGGTGGTAGTGCCACAGGAGTTTGGCTAGGTTGCTGACTGCAAGGGGAATGGAAGAAAAAGATTTGAGGTTTGAGGCCGAAATAAGGAAGGTAAGACTCCAACATGCGAGCGTCAGTCGGAGGGCGGAGGACCAAGAAACCACATCGGGGAAGTTCCGTGGACTTAAGCTGAAAGTCAGCCGAAGTTTCCCCTATTTGCGTCGAGTTTCAGCTCAAGTTGAGTCGACTCGCCTCGAGGTGCTTCTGCTTCTGGTGGCTCTGCCGCTGCCCAATGAGCGAAGGCGCGAGTATTATCATGGCCCGCGGCACGGCGGGGCACGGCGGGGCACGGCGAGGCTCGCTTAATTGCTGCCATTTGCCCTCCTTTCCAAATAGCCGGCCCTCGGCGTGCCTCGGCGTGCCGACCGGCGTCGTTGAGGACGCCGTCGTCCGTGGGTCGCGGCGTCGCGGCGCGAGTCGAGCAAGTCGAGGCGGGCCGAGGCGGACCGGGGTGGGGCCGCGGGCCGCGGGATGCGGCGTGGGCGTACGCGGCGGGCGGAGGGCACTGCAGGCCGTCTAGCCGCGTCTTGGTCTCGTAGAGTCAGAGTCCGCCCGCGCCGCCCGCGCTGCCCGCCCAGCGCCCCGCGGCCACGCTCCAGCGCTCAAGGCCGCGGCGTGGCGGGGTGCGGCAGCATGGCAGCATGGCACTTGAGTCCTGGGCGCCAAATCTCGCTTTGGTGACGTCGCGCTGCGGATGGGACGACGCCGTGCCCTGCAGCCGCGCCCCGCCGCTCCTCCCCGTTCGAGTCCTGGGGCTGGGCAGGCTTGAATTCCCTGGCGGCCCGGCGGCCTCGGCCCTGCGGTGGAAGGTGAGTTCTTAACGGCGCATCCAGAAGGCGAGCGCGGCCAGGGGCGCGGCCAGGGTGGCGACGAGGGGCACGGCGGGGCGGGGCGCCGAGTTGCAGGCGTCGGAGTTGCAGATGGAGCAGTACTCCTGGTGGATGTAGCCGGGCTGCGAGAGCGAGTTGCACGCGGAGCGGCCGCCGTCGTTGGGGTCTACCCAGCCGCAGGAGCGGACGACCAGGGGGCGGCCGTCAACTGAAACAGAGATGCCACTTTTGAAGCAGGCCCTTGCACTGTCACTGTAAGGGGGCGGGGCGGGTCAGCCGGCAGCCACTTATGCTAATTAAGTGGGACTGTCCGCCTGTCTGTGATTACCTCTCACACACGCACACACATGCACACTGATGCACACTCGCCCGCCCCCACTATGCGCCATTTCCGCGGCGATACCCCGCGACTCGCGAGCCGCGTGCACGGAGTATTGCCGCTCGGACACTACGCCGCGCGGCCGCGCCCGGCTGCAGGCTGCTCAGGCGAAGGCGGAGGAGTGTACTAGCGCCGCGCCGAGAGCCGAAAGGCCGAAACCGCCCCAAGGCCGGCCGAGGCCGGCAGACGCCTGGCGCTTCCTGGCCGCCCCTGCCGCGGCGTCAGCAGCGTCAGCGGCCGCGTCGCCGCGTCGGCCCACTTGTCGGGGAGGTGCGAAGCGCGAAGGCGAAGCAGTGTGTCGCTTGTCCCTCGGGGGCGAAGGAAGGGCCAAGGGCCGCCAAGGGCCGCCAAGGGCCCGGTTACGTTAGCACGCGCGACGGCGCGACGTGCAGAGCGGCGGCTTTTCCCACGTCCAGCGTTCCAGTGCGTTCCAGTGCGTTCCAGCGTCCAGCCGGCCTCGGCGGGGCCATGAGAGAACAGGGGAACAGGCCGCCGCAGGCAGCCCACCTTGTCAAAAGGAAAAGCACGCACAGCGCGCCGGTGGCGGCGGCGCTTCTCAGACTCTAAGGTCGGCGAGTGCGTAACGCGCAACGCACAACGCCCACGCCGGCTTTCGGTTTGGCTCGGCGCTGCCTGGCGTTGCTGACCCGGCGCGGTGGAGCGGCACGGCGTCGAACAACGAGGACCGCGAGGACGCAATCCGCGCGACAATGGGCACGTCACCGCGCCGCGAGGACGCCGTGCTGTCGCGGGCCGCCCTGTCCTGGCGGCGTGGCGTGCGTCAAAACTGAGACGAAAAGAGGGCGAATACACTAACAGAGGAAGGGGACCACGGCGAGCAGGAGCACGCTCCGAGCACGCTCGTGCGCTGGGGCGACGAATGGGGCACGCGTCGTCCCCGTCGTCCCCGTCGTCTTCGTCACGCCGCGGTGCACCAAGGCCAAGGACACGCCGCGCCGTGCCTCTGGAGGCGCTCTGCACCCGCGAGCGGGAATTCGGGTCCAAGGGAGTCGCACAGGCAGAACAGCACCCACTCGGCGCCAGGGGTCAAGAGTGCGAGCAAGCAAATGATGGCGGTGATCCGATTCGATTTAATCGGCGGCGTTGGTCCGATCGTTTCGCGGTGGTCATACCGCGACCTCTTTCGTAACAATCTCTCTCTCTCTCTCTCTCTCACACACACACACACACACACACACACACACACACACACACACACACACACACACACACGCACACACACACACGCTCACGCCCGCTTTGATACTCCCTTTGTCGGGCACCTGCGCGCCGCATTGCCGCAGTATCAAGGCGGTAAATCACACGGAAATGCCGCGTAAATGTCCATCGGGTCATTCGTCGATTAATCGATCATGAGCCCTCTATCTGCGCAACTCGCGCCGCGACTGTGCCCCCACTGTTCCCCGGTAACGATACACCGAGACCCGCCTGGAGTCCCCGAGAGCGCCTGGGCGGTAGGCAACCCCCGCGCACGTCGCTTCGACGGGACTGCCTACCTCCCAGGCGCCTGGGGAGTAGGCAACCCCCGCGCACGTCTTTTCGACGGGACTGCCTACCTCCCAGGCGCTCTCCGCGCGCCACGCACCGCGTCGGTCGGCTGTTCTCACGGAGGCGCGGCTCGGTGTAAAATATCCAGATCCATTCGTTTGATCCCATGCACACACACCATAAAAGTCCCGCATAAAATGGAGAGGAAAAGAAAAAGGGTACTTACTGCGCTGCTTGACCTTCCTGCAGACGGGGTAGCCGTGGTAGTACTGGGGAGAGTTGCCCGCCCTGTTGTCGCACTCGATGAGGGCGAAGCGGTTCGTTGTCCGGAAGGGGTCGTCGCACGAGTAGTCGTTCTGGGAGTCGCACGACCAGCATCGCAGGGCCGTTGCTGTGCACAAAACAAGGAGACAAACGTCAGCAAACTTCGGCGGCGCTTCAACATCATTGCCCGCATCAGCACTGGGAACGCGTGGGTCGAATTCGTCCGGAAAACCGTGACGATGTACAATGTCGCCTCGCCGGCATTAGTGGAGCGCCGTGCGTGGCAATCGAGTCCACGTGTTTGGAGGGGGAGGGGGCAAGACGGTGGCCTTGTCCAGTGTCACACAATGGATGGCGCCGTGTGAATCCAGGAGAGGAGTGGCCGCCAGCACCGCCAGCCACGTCAACGGGTACCCGAGAAGGTAGGGTGCCCCCCCGCCCCCGCGTCCGCCCGCGCTGCATTTGCGTGACGGAACGACCGCCGCTCCCAGCCAGAGGCTCGGCTGGGGGCCTGGGGGGCACCCTATAGCACTCGCGGTGGGTGCAGCGGCAGTGCGGCAGCAATTCGCTTCGCACACGCGCCGCGCCGGTCTAGGAAACGCACACAGCTTGGCGCCCGGCACAGCGCACAGCCCAGCATCCCGACACTCGTCGGCGCGGCGTGTAATGGCTGGCAAGGTGCATCACGTCCTCGGCGGGGCGGGGGCAGTTTCAGGTGTTGCGTTTTAGAATGGCGCATGACTCATAACGCGATAACGCGAACTGCTGTGCCGCGGCCGGGCGACCGGGGTCGTGCGGTGCAATGGCGCGCCGCGCTGCCGACTCGCTGGTCACGCTGTTCGGCACGGCACTGCATGGCACGGCACTGCATGGCACGACACTGCATGGCACGACACAAGCACGGTCCACGCCAGTCCCCACCACGCAGGGCCCACGGCCCTATCGGCGGCATCGCGACCCAGTTCGAACCGCACTGCACACACCGCGCAGTACGCAAACCGAGTCGCTTTGTCCCTCTCGCACTCGAGGGGCACTGCGAGAGGGAGCGAAAGAGACAGAGAGACGAACGTCAGAGGACCGGTGCGGGCCGATCTATGAGGAACTCAACCAGGACTCGAGCCAAACGCGGACCGTACCAATAGATTCCTCTTTGCAAGGGCAATCCACTCGTGTTTATGATTCGAGTCCCGTTTGAGGAAAGTTGAGCTCTAAACGCACCCAGAGCGCCGTGTCCGCCCGAACTGGTATCGTGGCCGCGGTACGCGAGGCGGTACGGCCCGGCGTGCCAGTACACTGTACACCGCGGGCAGGAAGCGGCGTATCGGGGTCCTCGTCACTCGCAGCCACAGCCCGGGCCCGCCAGCGTGACGTAACGCTGTGCCTCGCGCCTGCCAGAGTCACAGCGTCGTCACACCGTCGTCACACCGTCGTCACGCCTCGCCAAACGCGCTGCCGGCCGAGTCACGACAAAAGCTTCATCGCCTTAGCCTTGTCTGAGCGTCAGCCAAAGAGCCAGACCGCCACACCAAAGCCCTAACACGATGATCCCAGAGTTTTACTCAGGTTGTACAAATAATTTAGTTTCGGAGGTGGAAGTAACTTCTTTTCAGCCGGGTCCCTCGCCAAACCAAGCCCCGGTGCTCGATGGAGCACTAGTCGGCCTGGGCACGCGGCTAGCCGTGCTGGCTGCGCGTATGCAAGACCACGGCTCCGTCGGCCTGCTCGGGCGCAGCAAGACGGCGCCTCAGACGGCGCTACTCCGCGGCGCAGGGACTCCACTGCACGCGCGGCACCACGGCGGGGGCCTCCACCTCCACCTGGCCGGGCAGGGCAGGGGGTTTCGGTGCGGCATCGGCACGCCGTCGGGTCGGCGACCTGCAGCCCGCACTGCATCTGCTGCAACGCGAGGCGAGCGAGGGCCGCCGCGACCCACTTTCCCTGCCTGCGCTGGAGGGGGGGAGGAGGGGAGGGGGTCCTGGAGGAGGGGGTCGTGGAGGAGAAGGGGGTCCTGGAGGAGGGCGCCCGCGCCCCACCTTTCCAGGCGCAGCGGCTGCAGGCTGCATGCGCGACGACGCGCCTCCGATACTTCCAGCCGATACGCCCGTCGCGCCGTTGCAGGCAGGCGGCCAGCCAGCCAGCCAGCCAGCCAGCCAGGCTGATCAGAGGCGAGTGAGTTCCTCGCGATTTTGATTCCCGCGTCCTGCGGGCTGCCTGCCCTGTCGGGGCGGCCGCAGACACCAGCAGAGACTTGAATGCCGGGGGAGTCCCTGCCACCAGGGGCGCAGCGGCCGGCGGACAGGTGGAGTCCCGGGGGACGCGCGGCGCGGTGTCACGTGCAGTCACGTGGTCACGCGAACACACAGCGACGCCGCGCCGCGCCCGCAACAAGTACGGCAACGACCCGTCGTTTTACATTTTTAATTAAAGGTCACAAAAACAAGGTCGAAACAGAAGCTGACTCTGCAGAGCCACGGAGTTGTTTGCGCGGTAGGCGGCAGGGTGGTGCTGCAGGTGTTATCGTACGTGCGCCGCGCCGAGCCACGCCGAGCCACGCCGCCAGACGCAGTCAATTCTCACAACGGCTCCGAAGGAAAGCACCAGTCGAAATAAAAAAAGTCGTGTGAAGAATTAAAGGCAGCATGTGTTTGCCTTGTTATTCCCGCGTCGTCACCTTGTCGTGCGTGTGTGAGTGAGTGAGTGTGTGTGTACGGGGGCGCACGATCGGGCAAACCCGCTACCTGGCACTGCCCCAAGTGTGCCTGCAAGTACAGGAGGTAACGGGTACTTTTGATCAGAAAGGTTCCAGGTACAAATGTAACATTTGTCGTATTTGGGAGGAGGGGGGATCGAATGGAGATCGCTCCGGGCGGGCCGAGAAGGGCACCTCGACGCGGAGGCGTGGCCCTCGAACAAAGGGCAGTGTCTGGGAGCGGCCCGGCCGGGCGCAGGGCCCCAGGGCCCAGGGCCCAGGCAGGACCCGCCCAGGGACTTCCCTTGGTCGCCCTCGGCCTTGGAAGGCGAGGCGAGGCGGGCGCGGCGGGCGTTGTGTTCCGGTCCGATTCGCCCGGCCGGGTGAGGCGGCGGGCGCGGCGCGGCGCGGCGGGGCACAGAGGTGCGATAGTCGGCCGTCCTGTTCTTCCGCTGAGACGCGGCGGGCGCGAGGCGCGAGGCGCGAGGGGTGCTCCTCGTCCGCAGGGCTGGCTCGGCGAGGGGCGCCTGATGGAAGGCCAACGGCCACACTGCCCCTAAAGGTAGGGAAAATACACACAATCGCTCCAGTGCGGCAACGCCGCCACTCTGCTCGCGCGTCCGCACCGAGCTGTGCGTCGGGAAGGGAGCCGCGATTCGGTATCGGCACCGCGCCAGCCGCCAGCCAGGACCGCCAGGAACTCGCCCGCCAGGACGCTGCTGGTCGGGCGTTTGTGGGGCAAGTCTCACAGGCCAGGGGCCAGGGCAGGCGTCGCGTGGCGTGACTGGCCAGGCCTGCGGACCTTCGCTCGGACGCCAAAAAGAAGATGATACTCCCCGGAGAACCCCGAGGACGCCTGAAGGACAATGGGACCGCCTCTGTAGGGCTTCAGACCAGCCAGTGGCCCGTCGAAGGAATAAGGGGGCTGCGTGGCTGACTTTAGGCGGCAACGTTCATCTACATTTTGCGTGGCGGCAAAGCCAAAGCGTGCTTCAGTCGCTGCACGCGGCAAATTGTCCAAAAGGGTAAACTACGCTGCTGGCGCAATGAGACAAGTAAGCGCGCCGTCGCAGTGGCGCGAATGGACTGCATCAGCGATACGGCCGCGTGCAGAAAAGCAAACGGCCAATCAATTTCGGGAAAGAGGTGGGGGGCAACTGCAGCGTGGGGCCCTCCAGGGGGTTCTAGAGGCGGGGCGGGGCGGGGCGGGGCGGGGCGGGCTCTGGGTCAAGGCTGCGGGCCGCCCTAGGTGCTAGGTGCAGCCCCTCGGCCGGCCACGCGGCGCCAAGCGGCCACGGCCACGCCCACGGCCCGCATCGAGTCGGCGCGCACGCGAGGCGCACGCACTCGCTTACTTTTTATATTCCCCCATTTTCCCGCTCGAATGTGGGTCGCCTGGCCGCCATCAGAGCGACGGCGAGGGCGACCAAGTTTTGGCGGTGGCCGCACCCTGCAGCAGGCGGCGAACCGGGCGAACGCCTCGCCGCGCACTGCGGGACAAAGGCGCCAGACGCCGGCCGCGTCATGACTGCCGTCATCGCGCCGCCGTCGCCACGACGGGCTAACACCACCGCCGCACTGTAATAACATACCGATCATTACCGGCCCGTGAATCACCGGAAATAATGCGCGCCGTCGAAGGCGTGGACACGTCCAGGACGCCGACAATGACACGCGGCCCGCGGCACACCGGGACCGGGCGGCCAAGGGCGGCCAGGCTGGCGGATCGGGCGTGCCTGTCGGCTTGGTGTGCTCTCGGCGCGCCAAACGAGCGGCTGCACGTACGTGCCGCGCTTCCCTGCGCCAGCATCGGCCAGCATGCACCGGCCGCACCGCGCGGAGGCGGACGCGGACATGGACAGCGCTCTGGACACTATAGGGCTGCTTGTCCTCAAACGGGACCCCAATCGCACTCATGATGCCACCATTGGGCTCCTCGTCTGGTACCAACATGAGTTGGATTGGAGCTGAAGGTGGGGGCTCGCAGTGGTCCTGACAGGTAGGCAACACTGCGGCATGGCCTTGACAGCGCTCGAGCGGAGTCTTTTAAGGTGTGGGTTTGTCCATCAAGTCGGGACAGAAGAGCTTCGGGTGATTCCTCGCGTTCGTTGCGCCCGTTGCGTGCAGCGCGCCGAGCCAGGGAATGCAGCGTGAAGGTCGCGGCTGTCTTGATGTGCCTTCTGTCGATTCAATCGGTGCAGCAAACAACAACATCAACAACGACGACGACGACGGCAACCACGCCGTGGCAGCGGCAGTAGCGTGTGACTAGACGTGACGCTACTCGAAGCGCGCCCAGTCGGAACCGGAGGAGGAAGTGCAGGTCGCGCAGGGGAAAGGGGGGGGGGGCTGCGCGCTGAGCCGCGAAGCAGTGCTACCAACTGTTGCGAGTCTAGTTCGTGGCGCCGCCAGCTGCAGAGGGCTGCGGCCGCTGCGGC